GGAAAGAGGGAGGGGGGCGGGGTGGGATAAAAGAGGGTTGGGAGAGGAGAAAGGCGTGAGTAGCCATGGAGATGAGCTAACACACCAAACCTAGCTAACTGCCATTGCTGGCTTGTTCAGACTCGCGTGCTTGTTGGGCTTGACTGCGCGGGCGGATGTCAAGAATATGACTGATTTAATTAAAAATGAATTATTTATACATCAATGTTTTTTTTTGGCGAGGGGAAGTCATAATTAGTCAGACCCGTAAAGTTTTTCAGGTATGGCAGCCGCGAATTCAGATTTTGTGGTCATAAGTTCAAAATTTTAATGGGAGGAGCAGCGTGGTGGTGATTGACAAACTGGAGGACTAGTCTGTTCGGATTAGTGTGCCCTTGGGTAACTTTATTGTTAGATATAAGTGCAAAATAAATAAATTAGAGTAAGATTTAGAGACATATCACTCAATTCTTATATATTTACACCTAAATTATCATTTTAGACATCTATCTGGATCATCTTTTAGTTATGTTAAGTTATTAATAATGATATTTTTGATACAAGAATATACTTGTGTGTTGTAAATATAAAATATAAAATTTATGTATTAAATATGTAAATACATAAAAAATGTGTTGCAAGTATGTAATAATGTAAATGCCTAATTGTTTGGGCTTTTATGTTTTATTGTCTATGAATTTTAAATACTTTATGTGCACCCAAAAATAATTGGCACGAATCTCAAGACAATATAATGGTTCAGATAAAAATATAGATGATAAAAATTTATCAAATTGATTATCTGTATTAAAAGACATTATAGGTACCTATAACTCCCATATCAGATTATGGATTATAAAAATATATCATAAATGTAAAAGATTATAAATACCATTTTCGATTTACAAAATTAATTTTTAAATCGATTAGCGGAAACGAGATAAGATCATACATACCTCCAGCCATAACTTAAATGAACATAATCGACACTCACAACTCACACGACAAATTTTCTGTTATAGATCTTCTAAGCTTTTCTCACTCACAACCCGATGGTGCAAATAAAATGAAGAGGAGCAAGCTTAGAGACCAAAACAGCAAACATCACATCTAATTTATAGTACTCTGCCCATCACAGAGTTCAATGGATGCGACCACATTATAGAATGTTACTAAATTCATGTGTTGAACTTAGACACTATATGAACCACATTCTGAAAATTATTTCTCTTAAAAACACCAAAGAATTCCAACGGTTATTGAAATTAATTTGAGAATTTCAATGGGTATTGAAATTAATTTGGGAATTCCAAAGGGTATTGAAATTAATTTAGAGTTTTAATTAATTTAGGAATTCTAAAGAAATAAATTTAATTCCCATCATTAACTAATTTAGGAATCTTAAAGAAAAAATCCCAACATTCCCTCACTTGGTTCATATAGTTCAACACATATCATATAGAGAAACAAAATATATGAGTCATGGCGATAGGTCCTCTTATAGTGAGTATTATCTTCCATGTATTACACTATATCAAGTCTCTCAACACTATCCCATACAACTTAATGAATAAACCATACGTCTATTCCAAAGTCCAAACCGAATGAGATTTCTCAAAATAAACGAATGAATAATCATGTGCACAAAACCATATGAGAAATCATTAAACTGAATTAAGAGTTTCAATAAATATTCGTACAATGTAAATCACATTATGGAACCAAGTCCCATTCGTACTACGTGATCCTTAAAATTCTTTGGTGGCATGCCTTTAGTCAAAGGATCTGCAATCATCAACTCAGTGCTAACGTGTTCAATGACCACTTTCTTTTCCTTAACACGTTCTCTTATGGCTAAATATTTGATGTCGATGTGTTTACTTCGACTTCCACTCTTATTGTTCTTAGTCATAAATACTGCAGCTGAGTTGTCACAGTACAACTTTAATGGCCTTGAAATAGAGTCCACGACTCTAAGCACAGATATGAAACTCTTCAACCATACACCATGCGAGGTAGCCTCAAAACAGGATACGAACTCAGCTTCCATAGTGGAAGTAGCAGTCAAGGTCTGCTTAGCACTTCTCCCAGAAACAGCTCCACCAGCTAGCATGAAAATATAAC